GAAAGAGAGTGGGCATGAACAAAATGATGGCCTTTTAGTTTCAAGGGGAGGCCCCACTTTCTCCTTATATTGCCCCTGTCTCAAAACACGTGTGCTGGTATTCTAGGGTGTGTGTGGTATCAATGTCATTCTCCCCTTTACACATTGTGGGTGGGGGCTGATCAAAGGGGACCCTAAAATGCCACATGCTATTATCTGCACAAGAACTCCCTGAATCTGGTGTTTTGGCACAGATGGTTGTATGTGATTATCTTTTTTCACCAGAGACACTAGATATTGCTGTGTTTAAAATGATTCTTGCAGGTCAGTGTGCTTAAACATTCTCATATCTTAAATAAAACAATTTTTAAAACTGTGACACAATTTTAAAACATATTTTGATTGAATATCAGTGGAGGGTGAGGCAGCAACCTAACTGCTGCTCTGCATTAATATTAAAATCATGCCCCCCCCAATATCGTTTAAAATTTCCATTGTACTGTGATGGCATTTTTATTTATTTATTTATTTATTTATTTTACTACTGTGCTATCTATAAAGTCAACTGACTTATCTGCTGTGAACAGCAATCATCCCGCCCTGTATCTAAACCGATCACCTGTGACGTCATTTTCCTTTGTCCATTAGCTCTAATGCCAGATGGTATCATAGATAAGCTCTAAACACCTGTGACGGCATCTTCCTGTTGTCTGTTAGCTCTGAACAGCAATTAATCACCCACCCCTTGATATCTAAACCAAACACCCAACTTTTACACGATGACGCTGCAAATGCTCTGGCTGGGGGTGGCGTTGTTCTTCCATGTGTAGGTGAGTTCCAGGAAAGAACTTCAGCCTTTCACAGCTGTGACAACAGCAGAATGGTTGTGGATTGGCTAACGGCCACAGCTCAAACCTTCCAGGGCTGAAAACAGCCTAGGATTGGGCCAGGAATCTTCTTCACTCCACCCCTTGCAGCCGAGGGCGGGTTGTTGGTTCTGTTGGGAATTTAGAAGGTTACTGTCTTCCCTCCAATACACAACTGCCTGGAAACACTTTTTGCTTTTAAAGGCATGTTTGCTCAGAAGGATTTTCTCTGTTTTTGCATGCTTTATTTCTTTTCTGTTTTTTTAAGGATTGAAACTGGGGTGGGGTGGGGAGTTTGGGGACTCTTGCATTCTCTGCTTGGTAAGTTAGGTTTAAAACTCTTGCTTGCTGTCCTGTCTACTGGTTTGCTGTTAGAAAAACATGGTGTACTACAATTTATAATTGTTATCAATCATGCCTTTTTTGAAGATTAATAATTCAGTAGGCATTTATATTGAAGAGGATGAAGAATTAATGTGTCCTTATAATAGCCATAACAACGTATTGTAGGCCAGGATTACCCAGCTTGGATTTGTAGACACAAAACCAGTCACTAATACTGGGTTATTCTGTCATGTATACAAGACTTTAGAATGAACCATAACCTAACAGAGTATTAAATTTTTCAGTAAGGGGAAGTTGTAGAGTTGGCATGCACACAACATCCAACATGAGAAAATGAGCTGAAGCAGCTTCTGTGTAAAAGCTCCTTCATGCTGTAGTCATGATGTGCGGCATGTTTTACCACATGGATCCTCTCATATCTTTATAATAGTCTCCCTGTCACTGCTGAACAATTCAGGCAGCTAAAGGTGGTGTCAGTGAGACACTATACGCGGGCAGTGTATTGAGCAGTACAACTCTTCTTTATTTATTTAGAACCCATTTCTTTCTTTACTTAAATTAGTCATATCCCACTTTTCTGCTAAAAATGCCTGAGGTGTAGTGTTGCCAGTCAACAGTGCTTGGAGGCAGGTTGTCTTCCCAGGGAATGTAACAGAATAATCTTCAAAGGCTGCATTCAGATGGGCACTTCAATCCACTGTTGCCCTGCCTCTAATTGAGCAGATTATTTTGTGACAGAGAATCCTGATCAGACTTACCCCTTTTAGCATGCTTCAGTGCGCTTTTACCTGTGCTTGAGTGATCAAACGGCAGCAGGCAGGGAGTCAGCCCGTTCGCCAGTTTTTTAAAAGTGTGTCCTTTGAGCATGCCCTCAAGCACTGATGAGCCTTCTGGGATATGTAGTTTATGAGTTTATGAGGCTGTCGGCCATTTTTTTAAAAAAAGTGTATCCTCTGAGCATGCGCACAAGTGCTGATCAGCCTGCCATCCTCCCTCTAACCTTAACTCTTCCCCAAAGGTCAGAAAAAGGCTATAGAACAGAGGCATCTTTCTTTGAAAGTTTTAAAAAAGAAAACAAAGTCTTGAGTAGCCCCTGGGGGGGGGAGGTGCATATATGCACTTATGCACAATTTACTAACTAGTAAAACAAATGGCAGCCAGAAAACGAGACCAGTCAGACCTGCCTGTTGGCTTAGGTACACAAAAGCGATCAGACAACAGGAAATCCATTTGGAACCAGATCAGACCAACAGGACCAGACTTTCTCAGGTATCAAAGAAACACACAGCAAAGGGGGGGGGGAGGACTCAGATAGTTGGGGCATGACAAACAGATGTTGTTATCTGATTGTGCACTTTAAACCAGTAAGAGAACACCAACAGCAACAGATGAAACTGCTCGTCTGAACTCAGCCAATATTCTGGTTGTTGTCCACATTGGTACCTATTTCATGCTATGTGGCCATGTTTAGGTAAAATGAATTAACAGATACTACTTTATCTGGAAAGTAGCTTTAAGAAAGTCTAAGCATTAGCAGTAAAGACCGGGTTCCAAAGCTAATATACAGTCTTGTGCACACTTGGGGCTTCAGTGCAAAGATTGGTTCCAGGTCAGTCACAGCACCATGATTGTATCTAGAGTTCAATGGAAAGACAGTACAATCCTAAGCAGTTGCACCTTTCTAAGCACATTGACATGAATGGGCTTAGGACGCCATAGCTTTGCTTAGTATTGCAGTGCCAGCCTCTCACTGTTTTAGTATTCTGTGGATTTTATTGAAGGGTCCCTTTAGATTTGCTTACTAATACTGTGCTTTATTTATAGGGACATCAAGAATTTTACCTTGTGCACAGAGTTTTTGATTGATTGCTTCTGGTTCTGCTTTATTAGGAATTCAGCACTTTTGCTGATATATGAGTCTTCTGAAATGAAAACAGGGGCAGCACAAGTCCAACACAAGTGATTTCTAAAAAAGGAGCTTCCTGTTAGTGGTTTTTTTTTCTTCCATTGGAATGAAAGAATGAGTCATTTTGTCTAACCAAGTGTAATCAGACCTTAGAAAAGTTTTTTAAAAACCAACCAAAAAACAACACACTCAGTACTTGTGCTATTAGTGGAGGAGGATGAAAGGTTGCAGTGCCTTTAAAAAATTGCATTTCTTAAAGTTCTTTCAATTGAGACCTTAATTAATGCATTACGATTATCACTTAATTCCCACTATACTCTGGCGAGACAGGAAGTGGGTATGATTAATTCTTTTTTATAGGTGAGAAAATAGCAGTCAAATTTTAAGAAATTACTTTCAGTTTCTCACATATTCTTGTGCCATGCATGTCTGCAGCAACTGTTTGTCATTCATAAAGACCAGTTTGAAACACCTATGCTGTGTATACATTCTGCTGTACTTCTTCTGTAACATGCATTTGCTTGGTATCAGTTGTGATTAAAATATATACAAATAGATGTGTCCAACCATTTTCTGAGATGATTCACTGAGACATTTCCAATTCTGAGTCTACTTGTGAGAGAGCTTTCTGAAAAACCAGGTATCGGGTTGGACTCTGTATATATGTTATTTTGTTAAGGTGGCTTGATAAATAATATTATGAAGCACTGCCTGCTTCAGAGCTCTGTTGCTCATCTCAGGAGCTTGTAAACATGGTGCATCCCATATCAATAGAAGGCGTTAAGGGATCTGGCAAACATCTGCCTTACCCAGCTGAGTCAATTTCAAAGGGCTTTTTTAAAGAAAGGCAACCAGATCGGGAGTCCCGTTTTCCTTCATACAAGCTGTCAGGGAATTGGATTTTTAATCTTCCTTTTATTTAACCCAGAAAATGCTCAGCCTCTCTAGCCCTCTGGTGCCTGCCCATTGTTTGTGGCAGAGACTCAGTTAATTAATTCATCACTCTCATTTCTGAACTTGAAAGGCTTTAGGTTTTACTAAGTTGAGCAGGTGGTACATAAATAGCTACAGCTGCTCTGGGTTTATGATAAGTGTGCAGATTGCTGATTCTGTGAATAAATGAGCTGTATTCCTCCAAACTGCAGGCCTCCACAAGCCTTCTTCATGGAGATTAGTGTTTCCTACAGGTGCAAGGGTGCATGTTAGAGCAATCTCTACCCATCAGACCAGTGTTGAATGTCGTATCATTTAGCTAGCAAATGGCCCCTGGAAGATCTTGGAGGTGCAGCTACTAATATGCCTAAGCAAATTTGGGTATCAGCTATAGTCAGACAAAAGAAGTTTTAGACCGATACACATACATTATTTCAGAGCAAAATGGAAAAAATAGGGGTTGACTTGTGAAAAGAATAGTAAAGTAGGTGTCCAGAGATTATCTGCCTTCTGTAAAGGGATGTCTTGGCTCAACAATTTTTTTTAGAATTTTGAGGTGTTGTGGTGGGGCAACCAGCTAGATAAATATTTTCAAAAACTGCAGACCAAAGAAAATATTGTACTCATGGGTTAAGTGGACAGATCCTCTTAAAGTTAAATGATTAAACAATAGGGAACAGAGGGAGGATTAAATAACCACAGTGATTGGAAGTGAGCACTTAAATCCCCCAAGGACCTGTATTAAATGGTACTAGTCTTAATTCGATTATAAATGATGTGGAATCAGAGATGGACAATGCAGTAGTAAAACATGCATTGACACCAATCATGAAATCCAAAGAAGTTTGTGGGAAAAGAATGAATGTAAAGGGAGTAAGTACAAACCATTTTCCCTGCTCTTTTGCACAACAGTAGTAGAACATGTGAATCCTGAATAAACACTGAGTATTCAGTAGAGGGTAAATTCAGGACAAAAGTACTCTTTCACAAATGTTTACTTAATGTCAGAATTCATTACCACAGCATGTGGTGTTGGTTGACGGGTAGACAAATGCTTGGAAGGTAAGCCTATCCGTGGATTGCTAGTCTTGATGAGTCACATGAAGTTTTTGACTGCAGAATGCTGGAGGCAAGTATGATTGGGTTATTGCATCACGCCTGGTCTGTGAGCATGCCTGGGCATGTGGCTGAACCCTTTTGTAAACAAAGTATGAGACTAGATGCTCTTATGGAGCACTTCATCTATCCCACTGTTATGTGTGTGATGTGCCACTTCCAATTTAATGGCAACCCTATAAATTAATGACCTCTGAAACATCCTATCATAAATAGCCTTGCTCAGATCTGGCAAACAGAAGGTTGTGGCTTCCTATCTGGAGTCAGTATATCTCTTCATCTTTTCCTAGCATTATAGTCATTTCCTTTGAGTTTTTGTCTTCTCATGATGTGACCAAAGAACAATAGCATCAGTTTAGTAATTTTAATTTCTAGGGAGAATTTGGGTTTATTTGATCTAGAACCCACTTATTTGCCTTTTGGTGTCCATAGTATAGGCAAAACTTTCTTCTAACACTACATTTTAAAGGAACCAACTTCCTTCCTGTCATCTTTCTTCATTGTCCATCTTTTATACCCATACATGGTAGTGGAGAATACTGTAGTATTGTGTAATTCCTCTGTAGTCACTACCTTTGTGTTCAGATGTAATCCTACTTTGGCAATTTCTGCTTTAAATTTCATCAGTAGTTGCTTCAAGTCTCTACTGTTTTCTGTCACTAATGTGGTATTATCTGCATATCTCAAGTTGTTAAAAGTTCTTTCCACCAGTTTTCACTCCACCTTAATCTAAATGTAATCCAGTTGTTTTTATGAAATGGTTCTGCATACAGATTGAAGAGATACAGGAATAAAATCTATCCTTGCCTGACATCTTTGCCAATTGGAAAACATTCTGTTTCTGTATATTCTGCCCTCACAATACCCTCTTGTCCAGAGTATAGGTTGCACATCAAAACAATCAGATGTTGTGGCACACCCATTTCTTTTAAAACCATCCATAGCTTTTGATGATCTACACAGATCTACACAGTTTTGTTTTCTTCTGAAATTCTCTGGTATGCTCCAGGAACTCTTGTAAATTTGCAGTATGATCTCTAGTACCTCTTCTTTTCCTAATCCTTGAACACCTGACATTTCTCATCCTATATATCGTAACAGTCTTTGTTGTAAAATTTTGAACATCACTTTGTTTGTGATTGCCTGCCTTTGTGTCATGACCCTGGCATTCCATGGAGGTCTCCCATCCATATACTAGCCAGGGCAGACCCTGCTTAGCTTCCGAGATCTGATAAGATCAGTCTAGCCTATCCAGATCAGGGTGAACATCACTTTGTTTGTGTTGGAAATTAATGCGATAGTCCAATAGTTGCTGCAATCTTTGATCTATTGAACCTGTAATTTAGTTTGGAAGCTGTTTTGGTCATAATGCTGACTTCAGCCGTGTTTACAAAGGCTGCTTACAAGTCTCTCTAGTGACAAGTGCCACGCAGTAAGTTAGATAACCAACATCATCATTCTGTTTGTGCACTGAATATTCATTCCTAATAAACAACCTGCAATGCTGAAATGTTTGTAATCCTGTAAATGATGTGCCAATAGAATATATAACTTTTCCTACTGCAAGGGTCGGTTAACATTTTTAAAAGAACTAAGGTTGGTATTAAAACCCGTGTATGGGAAAGCAATTGGCAATGCTAGAATGGCACACTAGTAGTTGGTTTATACATGCATGTACACTACTGGATTATTCAAATGTGTTGGATACCCTGATGGAGCAGCATTAGATTTAAGGGGATATGAAAACCTCTATGTAACTATGAGAAAACCTCACCTACCCAATTTTTGCAGATCGGTAAGTTGGTAAAGGTTTTGGGCCTGTAAGAAGTCTGCCATCATAGTTCTGGTGCATCTGATGACATGAGCTCTGACTCACAAAATTTATGCTGGAAGACTTGTGTGAGTCTGGCTGTACAAATTAAGACAAGTAAAGGAGTCTAGTGTCACCTTAGAGACTAACAAAATTTAGTGGTGCGCTTAGACTAATAATATTAATAGCTATTAAAACTATAGATTTAACCTTTTTAGATAACATTTCAAATCTAAAATAATTTAGATTAACCCTTTCTGTTTTTTCTTCTTCTTTTTTACTATGCTTACACTTTGGAACTAACAGCAAGTATTCAAGATGAATGTAAGTCCTATTTTCTGGCTTATTTTTCTCTGAAGTAGCTGTCTGTTCGTGTCTGGAAAAAGAGCAGAAGAAATCTGCATTGTTTCTGGTACTGGAAACTGACGTATAGCCTTCAGAGCTGAAAGCTTGAGTTTCTGCATCTTGAACTACAGTGTTAAGCATATAACTCAGGGGTATTTTTAAGTAAAATATTCTGACTAAAGCAGAAACCTAGATGCATTTATCTTGTTCAGGCAAATGGAACTTGCGACGTTGGTAAGATAGAAACTGTTTAATGCCTTTTATAAGTTCTGTCGTATGGGCTGACTAGCTGTGCCATTTATCACATATCCAGCCATTCGTACCTTAAGAAAAAATTATTTGAGACATGTAAGCTTTCCAAGCAAGATGTTGTCCCAATGAAACTTAACTGAGGAATCATTTTGATGCATTGGAGCCTGACTTTCTGTACAGATAACTTTCCTCTTTCAGAAAAGGAGACTGTGTTGTATGATATTCACTGCTTGCCACTGCCATGATTTCTTCTGAGTGTGTTTCATTTCACTCCTTTTTGAGAAAACGTTACTAAAATGATTTGCTGTCTGAGAAAAAACTATATAATTCTGCATGTGGCCCCATCTGTGGATACTTAGATGCAGAAACTGGGACCATAAAAAGACAAGACATATCTTTCGACAAACCTGGGAAAAGCCCCAAATCTGAAATAAAAAGGGTTTTAAAAAATCCAAAACAAATATAAGAACCAGAGTCTGTAGCTTTAAGAAACTAGTACGCTCAGTGGCCATTGCTGGGCGACCAAAGCAGTATTGCCAGCCTTCAAGTTTTAGTTTATGATAGCAAAAGGTAGGCAGACGGACAGGACTCTTTCCAGGGCTATTTAGACCTTGGAGGGAGGACTCATCAGGGACAGGCATGCCAGCAACCTTTAGCTGACTTGATACCACACAGATTTCATAACTAAGCCAGGACTGGCTGTTTGCTACTTAGGGATCCCAAGTCCCCCCGGGGGGCGGGGAAACCCCCGCCCCAGAGGCCCGTTCCCCGGCGCCGCCGGATCGGGCCCCGGGGGGAACTCCACCCCGACGTGTGCGTCACCCAGAAGTGACGCGGGCACGCTGTGCCTCCGCCCCCAGCATGCCTGGCGTCCTCCCGTCACTTCCGGGTGATGTGTGTGTGGCGCGCATGCGCACAAGACGCCAGCCGGGAACCCCCCGCTCTCAGCGAAGATAGACTTGGCAACCCTATTGCTACTGTTCAATGGCATCCATCCCTATGAAAGCCAGTGTGGTATAGATATTCATACTAGGATATGGGAGACCCAGGTTCAAATTCCCATTCTGCCATGGTGCTCACTGGGTGATCTTAAGCCAGTTGCACACTATTAGCCTAATCTACCTCACAGGGTTGTTGTAAGGATAAAACAGAGGAGAGGAGAATGACATTAGTGCTTGGGTTCCCATTGTGGATAAAGGCGGATATAAATTAGACAAATAAATAATAATATAGCTGAAGATGGGGGACAGATAAAAGGTAGGTTGGTGGGTGGGTGGGAAGGAGAAAAGGAATCAGGGAAAGGTGATGATATGGGAGCTGACAGGAGGAGGAGGAGAGGAAATAGCGTGCTGAGAGGGATACAGGGGAAAATGAAGTCCCCTCCCCCCTCTCAATTCTTTATACATTCCCCACCGTGCACCTGGGTCCAGCCTGGTGGGTGGCATTGTGTACCTGGGTACAACTCAATGTCCTGCATCATGCAGTTGGGTCCACTCTCCGGCACCATGCAGAAACATCCCAGAGAGAGGCTGCCAGGGGGAGGGGAAGAGGGAAGGCTGAAGATGGGGGGGGAATGGTGGTGGATGGGAAAGAGAGACGGAAGCAGGAAAAGGAGAGGGGCTATGGGGCTCTTGGGAGGGGGGAATAAAGAGGAAATAGTATGTGGAAGGGGATACAAGTCCTTATGGGTATCCCACAGCATAACTGGGCCCAGGTCGAGGAGCTGGCACCGCACAGCTGTGCCTGACACTACACAGCTGGGCCCAGCAGCTGGCACTATGCAAGTTGGCCAAAGTTTTCCCAGCTGCCTAGGGGAGGGAAGGAGAGAAAGCTGAAGATGGGAGGGGGCAGATAAAGCTTAGGTTGGCTGGTGGGTGGGTGAGAAGGAGAGAAAGCAGCAGGAAAAGAACTATGAGGGTTTTCAGGGAAGGGAAAGACAAAATAGCAGGGCAGGGGGAAATTAGATGTCCCCCACAAGTCCTTGCAGGATCTCTGCTTGTATTATATAATGGCTTGTGTACTATAATGCCACTAGAGGGACAAAACTTCAGAGCAGATGAAACATGTTGAAAGGCCAGTTTTGTGATACTATGTTTAAGAATTAAACCTTGATTAATTTATAATGATGAAAATGGGAACAGAGCCCCATTATATAATGTTCCTTACTATCCCTATAATCTCTGTCCTAGCCAGTTTGGTGTAGTGGTTAAGTGTGCGGACTCTAATCTGGGAGAACCGGGTTTGATTCCCCACTCCTCCACTTGCACCTGATGATGTGACCTTGGGTCAGTCACAAGCTCTGGCACAGCTGTCCTCGAAAAAGAGCAGTTTGTGTCAGAGTTCTCTCAGCCCCACCCACCTCACAGGGTGTCTGTTGTGGGGAGGGGAAGGGAAAGGAGTTTGTAAGCCGCTCTGAGACTCCAAGTGAAGGGCGGGGTATAAATCCAATCTCCTCCTCCTCTTCTTCCTCTTCTTCTTCTTCTTCCTCTTCTTCTTCTTCCTCTTCTTCTTCCTCTTCCTCCTCTTTTTCCTCTTCTTCCTCTTCCTCCTCCTCCTCTTCTTCTTCTTCCTCTTCTTCTTCTTCTTCTTCTTCTTCCTCCTCCTCCTCCTCCTCTTCTTCTTCCTCTTCCTCCTCCTCCTCTTCCTCTTCTTCTTCCTCTTCTTCTTCTTCTTCCCTGTGTGTGTGTAGCACACATTATATCCAAATAGCTTTAGGGATTGCTTTTCCAAGCATGAATCCTGAACAGATCTGTCTTCCTTGTTATGGGGTTCCCTGCTAGCTCAGTAATTCTGAGAGGTTTAACCTTCCACTGCAACTAACAATTGTGGTTTTTTTGCTTGAGTCATTTCATTAAATATTTGCTGCTCTTCAAGCACATGTGACATAAGCATGCTCTGATCTTGCCCAGTGGCTTTGTGGCGCATAATACATATTTTCAAATGCATGTGCACTCACAAGCAGGTGCAGCACATACTTGACCGTCTGTGGGTGTTCCTTTGCTGCCCATGTGCTGATTGGCATAGAAAAGTTTGTTGGTCCAGATATGCTTTTTTAATGGTGGCACAGGCTGGTCATGATTACCTTGTTGTGCTTTAATTTGCTATCTTGTTGGTTTTTCAGTTTGCAGATATTACATGCCAGTGCTCTTGCTCTGCTGATGCTTGCATGTCTTCCCACTACCACTGTCATTGCCAGAGGTCTTGCTCTGCTGATGTCTGCATGCCACTGTTGTTGCACTTGGAGTTTTTTTCCCCCAAGCAGGCATGTCTTCACTGTTGCTAATGCAACTCAGCAGGTCACAGGAAAGGGCATAGAGTTACAGTGGAGGAAATTGAGGCCAACAAAGGTCAATCTTATATTAAACTACAAATCCAGTTTTGCGGTCTCCAGACCTCATAATAACCTATTGTAGATTGCGTGCTTTCTGTGTGTGAGGTTACACAAATGTGATAGTCATTTTTCATCCTGTACTCTGTTTTTCAAGAAGAAGGCTGGGGCAGCATTTCATAAAGGGGGGAAACTCTCTTGAAAGTTGATTTTCAGGTCTTGTATGGGTTGCCAGCTCTGGAGATTTGGTGGTGTTGCTTGGGGACGGTAGAGTTCTGAAAGTTGAAGGAGCACAGCTGGGATGTGATGCCATACAGTCTGCCCTTCAAAGCTGCCGTTTCCTCTGTGGAAGGTGATCTATGAAGCCTGGTGGTTTCTTGTAATTCTAGGAGAACTCCCGGCTCAACCTGGAGGTTGGCAGCTCAGCTACTCATTGAATATTTTTACAGTGCTACTGAAATGCTTTGAGCATGAAAGCTGCATCTCTGGAGGTTGTCATCTGAGACAAATGAAGAAACTGGCATCATACATAGTCTTTTAAAAGTAATCACTGAGCCAACTCCCCACTAATCTTTCTTTCAAAAGCCTTATTGCTAAATACAGATCTTACTGTGTGCTTATTCTGTCTGCTTCTCTTGGTCTGTCAAGACTGGGAAAAGCCAGTCAGGGCTACAATTGAAGGTGTGGGGGAGAAGAAGGCAGGAGAATTTGCAGAAGGGCAGAGTTTGGTTTAGCCTTCCATCACCTCTAGGCTTACCAGGTTCCCACTTCAGAAAGGGGAACTCCCATCCTGGCCAACCCTGCCTGCCACCCTGAAAAGTACTGAGACTTACTTTGTGAATTCAGCTCTCATACTTTATTAGGAGAAGAACAAGACAAAGTAGCCGGCTCACAGGCCGCCTTATATGTCCCAAGGAAAACACACCCACATACACCCAACACCCGTGAATGGTCTATTTACAGTGATTAGATTATTCCCTTGGATCCTAGGTTCCCGATTGGCAGGGAACTAGGATCCGACCGGCTATTGCGTTTAGGAGTGAAGCTCAGGCCCTTCGCTTGGTCGCATGCGGAACCGTCCAAAACCAGATCACGCACATGGCCGGGTCAGTACACAACACACCCCTCAACAGGAGAAAAATGGGAGGGGGGATAATTGCCAGCTTCCTGACACTATAATGTTACTTCTAATGCAACCTGAAGTGATGTCATGATATCGCTGGCAATACCCATGCATTTCTGCACCTAGAAGGATACTGACTCTTCAGGAGGGGGGCATGCAGGGCTTTCAATGCTTCTCAACAGTTGTATGCCTTCTGTTGTCCTTTTGACCTGACACGGTTGACCTTTTTACCACACTCTCTAATCACTGTGACACATTTACCCACAGACTGGGCAAAAAGTAGCTTGTTGTCCTATCTTACAGGAGGGAGAAAAAACATCAGAAGGAAGTGGGGCAGCCTGGTGGGGAACTTTGTTCCTTTTGCCCAGCTCATATTCATTTCAGAGGGGCTTACACAAGAAAACTTCCTGTTGGATTGTAATTTTGTCTCCGGTAATCATGAAGTCCAAAACAAAGTATAGAGAAGTGATGATGTAATGTAAGGTAATGACTTTAAGTTATCTTAGAAGGTGGGGACTGTGAAATTAATTGTTTTGTTCCTGGAATGTGCAGTGTGTATACAATAAGAGGCATGGATATAATCAGAAAACTTTTCCAATGCACAGTAATATTTTACTTCATGTGATGATAAATGGATATTCTTTACTTCTTACCTTTTCCCCATCTATTCTCTCTCTCTTTTTCCCCTGTGTGTGCATTTCAGTATCTCAGCCCCCCACTATTACAAAGCAGTCTGTGAAGAATTATATTGTAGATCCAAGAGATAACATAATCATTGAATGTGAAGCCAAAGGCAACCCCTTTCCCATGTGAGTAGAGTTTTTTTTTAATTTGTCACTGATGGTCCTTTCTTGTAGCTACTGATTGTAGCTCCATGTATTTCACCTTCTAGTCTTGATGAGAAAAGGTAGACTAGAAATAATGTAATGCATCCTCTGGGTCAGCGTATCACAGCCTCCTCATGGGACAGTAGGGAACATGTGCTATTCCTTAAACTTGCAAATGTGTTTGTTAAATGGCTCAGGTATCAAGGAATTAGTCCAAGCATATTAAATGCCAGTAAGATATCTTCCCTTATGAGCCTACATGCCAAGGGTGTTTATAGCAATACAGTGAGAGAATCACGGTAATGTCAAAGTTAAGAGAAAAAAATCAGACCATGAATGTGTAAATATAAATCAACAACTATCTATAGATCAATCAATATTGTTTATGAGTATTGAAGTGTGTTATGTCCTTCATTAATGTTATATAGCAGTGGTCCCCAACCTTTTTGAGCACCTTTGGAATTTGGAGGGTGGTGGGTGCAACCCCAGAATGGCTGCCGTGGGAGGTAGAGCCAACCACAAAATGACAGGGAGCAAAGTTATGCATAATTCTAATTCTTCAGCTTTTCAGGCAGACAGAAGCTCGGTTTAACAGGATGTCTTTAAATCTGCACAGCTAATCAGAAGCCCTGCTGGGCAAAAGCCCTAGGTGACCTCACCCACATTTTAAAAGCACTTGGTGGGCACCAGGAAAAGCACTGACAGGTGCCATAATGCCCATGGGCACCAAATTGGGGACCCCTGTTATATAGCTTAAGCAATTTTACACAACCCTATTCAAATTTGTAACACAATCATTCATATATAACTTCACACTGAAGAATCTTATAAAGAAATTATAGCTTTACAACAAAGTAGCTTTATAACAGAGAATAAATACACTCTCATTCAGCAATTCTGCCTAGATGGAACACTGCCGAAAGGTTTTGAAATTCCAGCCAAAAGTGATTGTCTAAAGTCCAGCTGACAACCCTGACCTGGGTGGCCCAATCTCATCAGATCTCAGAATCTAAGCAGAGCCAACCCTGGGAAGTATTTGGATGGGAGACCTCCAAAGAATACCAGGGGCTGGGAGGCAGAGGCAGGCTGTGAAGCCCCTTTTCTAAACGTCCTCCATGCCCCAGTAGGAGTTGCCAGAGGTCTCTGTGACTTCCAGGCATGGGCAAACACAAACAAAAATACAATTTTTTTAAAAAAGTCCAGCTGACAAGATGCCAGCTAACAGGCTCATTTCAACATCACTCTTTTTTGAAGTCGGAACGGCTTCACACTCATAGAACAGCTTCTTTAGTGTTATCACTCTCTTCTCAATTGTTATTACATTCATGCACTGGAACTAACAATTACAAAAAAAAAGAATCTAAACTTAGGAACACATATTATGTTCCCGTTTACAGATTTACATGGGCGCGAAATGGGAAGTTCTTCAATGTTGCAAAGGACCCAAGAGTAAGCATGAGACGCAAATCGGGTACACTTAGCATTGACTTCCGCAGTGGTGGTAGGCCAGAGGACTATGAGGGGGAATATCAGTGTTTTGCTCGGAATGACTTTGGGACAGCCATTTCCAACAAAATCGTCCTGCAGGTTTCAAGTGAGTATGATAGCTACAGGATTTGTAACACTGAGGATTATAGTTTTCGAGAAAGTATAACTTAATTTAGTGGGTTGGTTTTTTTTAAACTCCGGGGTTGTTAGAACTTAGTTTCAACAATACACAGTTTTTCAAAATTAATACCAGCAGTCTTCTTCCCTAGCAGAACTTTTAGATTGCATTATATGTTTGTTCTTTATGAAACATATTTCTAGCTGCCTCTGCTCCTAGGCTGGCTGATTACTGTGGATTTGGTCCATCGCTTGGCAGAAAGATAGGCCTATCACCCCAGCTCTTCTGGGCTTTTGTTTGGGCCCAATTCATGTAACGTTTTCTCTACATGAAGAAGACCTCTTTGTAAAAAAAACCCATGTACTCCATTACTTTTGAAATGTAGCATGGATTTGCTTATGAACAAAAGTGTGGATGTTCAATATTACTGGCAACAGAAGTTGCTGCCAGGACACTTTGATCTTGTCCCATCAGCCTTGCTTTCTATAGCCTTTTTGGTAGTTGTGGATATGGCTTTTGTCTTGGAAAAAGTGATTTTCTCAAGAAATTCCTAATGAGTAAAGTGCCAATAAGGAAAGAAAATAACAACAAATAATCAAGTGCTCCTGAAATCACTTGTTAAGCAGAGCGCCTTCATTTACATGATGTATAGCAACATGTTTGAAATGGTTGTAACTTTCATTGACCTCTCTTAGTATGAAATACAGCAACCCCACTCTTCCCTCATCATGCGGCTGAATTAAGAAGCCTCTGCTGCGGGGGTCATTGAGCAGTTATGTTCTGGGTAACTGTATTGTTTGTGCCACCACCTTCAAATGCTGGATTCCCAGGCCTGGCATTTGTGTAGTAGCTGTAGATGCTGACTAGACCAGAATTTTAATCCAGGGCTTCTCAAGGATGGTGGGAAGGGTGGCAACAGAGGTTAGGTGTGGATTAAAGAGAGAAGGCTATGAGCCACAAGGATGTAGATTCAATAAAGCATGAAAAACAAGATGGATATCGGTGAAAATCTCTTGCCTGGAAGTAGGGTGCAATACTGAAAGGAATTTCAGAAATCAGTGCCTGCTGATGTATATTTTTTCTTGAAATGTATTGTTTATTGTAGAGTCACCTTTGTGGCCAAAGGAAAACCTGGACATTCAAGAGGTTCATGAAGGTGCTCCGCTTATCTTGGCATGCAATCCTCCTCCTGGACTGCCACCTCCTGCCATTTTCTGGATGAGCAGCTGTGAGTTTGCATGTTGGTTAGGTGGCTAGAGCTGCAATTGAATAATAGGAATGTTCCTTATTAGAATTCACAATGTTGGTTTAGGCCATTTTCCTTGATGATTCTCAAGTGTGTGTCAGCCACTAGTAGGCCATAGAGCTTGCACCAACAATTGTGGAATAACAATGGTGCAGAGTATTTATCATTCACCCTCTCTCATGTTCTCAATACTGAAATGGGGAAAATCTAGTCAATGAATGAATAGTTGCTGCCTTTTGTTGTTCAGTCGCACAGTCGAGTCCGACTCTTTGCAACCCCATGGACCAGATAATCACATAAAAGAGATGGGGACTAATAGTCTTCAGCAGTATTGTACTATTCCAAAAGTACACCCTTGAGGTCTCTTGCAGTTTCAAAGAAGATCTGGATTACTAAGGAGCGTTTAGATCACATGCTGCTTCATTGGTGTCCTGAACAAATTCCACCCTAAGCAGTTATTGGGTTACTTTATAGTTGGCCCTGGTGGCAGCTGCCAGTGAGAGGTGCTCCACACAACAAAAGTGGAATCTTCCTTTTCAGTCTGTAAAGATTTTTCTTTCCACATGAACTAATGAAATAAAATGATTGTGTGAATCAGTCACACAAAAAATATAATGTACACAACTTATGTGCATTTTCTCAAAGAAGCTTATTATGCATTCATTGTAGTGAGTTCAAATGACAGGTTAGTGGGGTGAGGGGGTAGTGATGGCTGTGGGGCTTGGAAAAATTGGTTCTCCAAAATTCAACCAGGAGTTTCTTCGTTGTTTCTGGTATCAGATTCAGATAAATTTCTTTCTTCTGTTGAAACCCTTAATTCTGTCCCCCTGCCCCTGTTTCCTGGGTTCGAGTCACATGATCATCACTTTTTGAGGAGTCCTCAGTATTTGACTTGTTGTTGGGAAACAAATAATAACCTTAATTGGCTAATTCCACCCCCCATATCACTTGCCAAGATCCAAGAGCCAAACTAGACAAGATATTTGGTTATGTGGGGCTGCCCTTGTCGCAAATTCGGAGGCTACAGCTAGTGCAGAATGCTGCGGCCAGGCTTCTGATGGGTCTCCCTAGGTGGGAGCACATCCAGCTTGCTGAGGACACTGCACTGGCTGCCAATAGCATACCGAATTCGCTTCAAGGTGCTGGTTCTTACCTTTAAAGCCCTTCATGGCCAGGGTCCAACATACCTGAGGGACCGCCTTTCCCCATACATACCCCATACATACCCCAGGTCGGGGTCTCAAAATTGACTGACCCTCCACGGCCCCAAGGATGCCAGGCTTGCTATCACCAGGGCCAGGGCTTTTTCAGTGGTGGCTCCACACTGGTGGAATGACCTCCCAGAGGAGATCAGGGCCCTGCGGGATCTTTTACAGTTCCACAGGGCCTGCAAAACAGAGCTCTTCCACCAGGCTTTTTCAACTAGGAGCTGCCACCACTATGCCATCAATGACCTTAATTATAGAGCCCTGGTCCTTGGTTTTTGACATCTCTTGACGGAGCACTGCAGGAATTACAATAATATGGATCAACGCAACAACACCTCTCTAATGTCTTCCCAAAGCTCTTAAGAGAGATGTTGTGTTGATTCATATTATTGTCATTCCGGCAGTGCTCCATCAAGAGATTGGTGACAACCACCAACAGAGAGATAGAGTTGAAAAAGATATACGAAACCGCTTTTTAATCCTAGGAAAGGGTGTTCTCTTTATCGCTTGCATTCCTTGGATCCACATGTTTTCAAATGAACGAGTGATGATTATTGTTTAGGAGCTTGAAAAATGAAGACTTTTCAGTCTGCTTTTCCACTTCACAGCTCTTGTAAGACGCCTTAAAGAGAAAACATTCCAGGAACATATAGCCAAAACAGTGTCAAGAATATTTGCATCAAGATTTTGTATTGTATTGTATTCATACCATTATCTACTGGCTTTGCCTATTTTTATGAAATGTATTTTACACAAGGATTACTGTTGTCTAGTATAAGAAATTTGCATTATAAACATTATAAAAAGTGTAACCAACTGTGTTAAAGTTATAGAAGAGTGGTTTTCAGGGAAGGGAAAAAGGAAATGCTGGCAGAGGGGAAAATGAGATGCCCCTCACAAGTCCTTGTGGGTCCTCCACTTGTACAGATATATTTATAATATGCATGCAATATATAGATATCAGATATACAATAAATGTATGCTCCTTAATATTGTGCACGATTCCTATTTGCTGTCTGTCACTTCTTTAAGGAGCTGGGAGAGAAATCTACAATCTGGGATTTCATCCTCAGTGCAGGCTGATCAGAATAAAACAACTCTCTCCCAGTAGCTGTCACATGACATTGCAAGTGAGGAGAACTGGCTGCCTAAAATTCTGACTCTATTCCCCCAAAAGGTCTGAATGCTACTGCAAGATTGGTAGATTGACCCCTGCAGGGACTGTGTGACCCCCTTCCCATTAAGAATCACTGTGTCAGATGTTACTCAAATGTGCTTTCTATGGAATATTTTTATCCATAGCAATGATTATGGTAATTAGAAGAAGAAGAGATTGGATTTATACCCCGCCCTTCACTTGGAGTCTCAGAGTGGCTTACAAACTCCTTTCCCTTCCCCTCCCCACAACAGACACCCTGTGAGGTGGGTGGGGCTGAGAGAACTCTGACACAAACTGCTCTTTTTCGAGGACAGCTGTGCCAGAGCTTGTGACTGACCCAAGGTCACATCAGCAGGTGCAAGTGGAGGAGTGGGGAATCAAACCCCGTTCTCCCAGATTAGAGTCCGCACACTTAACCACTACACCAAACTGGCTCTCTTCAGGGGGAGGTCTAGTTTGGCTTTATCAGACATGTTTTGAATTTAGTGATGAAGCAGTTCCAGCTGGGATTAATATCACTGTGTGCCTTTTCCAGGTATTTAGCCAGTACATATGCCATTAGGTTCCAATGTAAGTGTACGAGGCCATTTGTTCCAACAAGAATTACTGTTCTTTCTTGCAGCCATGGAGCCAATCCACCAAGACAAGCGAGTCTCCCAGGGACAGAATGGTGACTTGTATTTCTCCAATGTCATGCAGGAGGATGCCCTGACTGACTACAGCTGTAATGCTCGCTTTGCCTTCACCCACACCATTCAGCAGAAAAATCCTTACACCCTCAAGGTCCTGACCAGTAAGTATTTAAGTTGACCTGCTGGATTAGAAATATGTGAGCAAGATCTCTTCTGTACCTTATTATTTGGCTGTATTCAGAGAAACAGTCCCCTTACAGACATGAGAATTATTTTGCTTTTGTTCATGTTACCTCACTGATGTTGTTTTCTTGCTACTTGTTTGGAGAGACATGGAATTATATTTATTTTACTTTATTTGTCATGTAGATGTTGTGTCCTTCCTCCAAGGAGCTCAGGGCATCATAATGGAGCTGTAGGGGTCAAAATGTGATTGCAATTTGCTTATATTGGTTGGGCAGAGTTGGTAGATATATGGAGTGTGGACACATGCTAGAAGCTTTGTTTATAGTGTATCTGATGAACATCAAAATATCTGAAGTTGTATTTAACTTATAGTTTAAAATATTAAGTCAGAAAAAATTCAGAGACTTTGAAGTCCATTAGATATATCTACAAGAACAAGTTTCTAGCATGTGTCCACACTGGCCAGTTTCTACATATCTATCTTCCTTTTTTAAAAAAGTTATATCTATTGGGTTCTGTGCTGCCACTCAGTTTAGCTAATGCAGGTCACGTCCTCCTGCACAAAGAAGGCTCTTTGTGCCAAGGGAAAACATCTCCATTAGCCTAGTGGAAAGGTAGGATATGACACACTAATATTTCTAGAGTTGGTATTAATATCAGGGCACTCGCAGGACCTGTTGCAAATATTTGCAATCCACTGCATGTACGGACTTGAGTCCTGTGGTCCACACCATTCTCAAAAGGTTATTTGGGCTACTGTTCATGTTAATGAAGTGTTTCATGACACAGTGCATTCTGAAACTCTTATGACAGATTGTTCAAATAGCAGCATATTTTCAATATTTTCTCAGTGTTCCACACTTTATACATTTCTACATATCCAATTGTTATGTGCATGTGTTTGGCATTGTACAAACTCTTGTGCTTCACCTGAGTCTGTTAATCTCATTCATTACTTTTTCTGATGTTTACCCCTTCTTTGTGCCCAGTGGTACTTTGCTAGTGCTATGAGAAGCATGTCGGGCATCTCTGGTCCACTCACGATGATACTGATACAAGTCAAGAGGCAAGGGACATAGGGCATCACTGCTAATATCACTATGCGCCTATTTTTCAGGGCCATTATTATTTTTCTATTTCCCATCAACAGTTACCAAGTAGAATACAACCAGAGGAATATATATTGAATTCACTTTGGATATTTCAGTTCAGTAGCAGTTCCCTCTGATATTCAGAAGCCCAGTACTTACTGCAGGATATCATCTGCTGTTTGTAAGAACATCCAGAAAGAAGCCTTTGAAAACTGTACAGTATTGATTACCTAGACTGATCAGATCTGCCCATGCTGATCCGTGCTCTGTTAATTCATGGTTGGAGTCTGCTTTGGCAGGGAGAGTGGAGTATAAACTGAATAAAATAAATAATAAATAAATCAACATGCTGTATGTCGGGCTGCCTTTGAAGACAACCCAGAAACTACACCTGCACCAGAATGTGGCAGCAAAGCCCTTCACATCCTGAGACCCACATATTTGAAGGGCCATCTCCTTTTATATGTCCCTAATGCAACAACTGTGGTCATCAGGCAGATATCTGTTGGCTATCCCACCACTTAGGGTGGTGCATCTGGCATTGACCAGAGATTGGGCCTTTTCCATCATGGCTCCAGCTCTGTTGAACACGCTCCCTGAAGGGGGTCTCCTCCCTGGAGGTCTTGAGGAGATAACTGAAAGCCTGCCTGTTTGCCTTAGCTCTTGAGGGTGGTTAAATGGCAAGCATCTTTTAAGTGGGGGGGGGGGAGGGATTTGGGGCTTGCTATTTTGTTCTTGGTTTTAGCTGGGGATGTTTTAACTATTCTTGTAAGCCACCTTAAACCAAGGGGAAAGGTGGGATATAAATACTTTAATTAGTTAGTTAGTTAATTGCTGGGTTTTGTACCAGTGCTTTATGAGAATGAGACCTCGTATACCTGATTCCTAGGGTGTGTCAATTGAAATTAGGAAGCTAAGTGCAAATAACTTGTCTCTGTCTACTCACTGGGCTCTGTTTGAAAGTAGAGCATAAGGTCTCAACCGTCAATTCTTTTGAAAACGTTGCACTCAAATATTAGTGGTACATTTTTAGCAGCTGCTGGCCATGAAATTATAGACTCTTGAAACTTTCATAAAATCTTCATTCAAGGCCAGCTAAAGTATGAGTACGCTGATGCTGTGGATGCCAGCCCTACAGATATCCAGCAGTTGGGCATCCATGCTGACAGCATACTCTGTGTATGAAAGTAGCAACAGTGGGAAGAGGGAAATGAATCCATAAACTGGGAAAAATAGGTGGGGGTTACAGAGTATGACTCCTGTGCAGAGGAATCTGCCGTGTTCAGATTCAAGGTGGTGGTGCTCCAGATATCATTATAAAAGGCTGCCTTGCTGTCAATGGCGTTTTTCTGAGAACTGGTATAAATCTGCCTTCCTTTTTAATAGTGGGCTGCATTTGAATGGTTTTGTATCCAGCAAAGGATGTACTAAAATACTGCCATCAACCGAAAAATGTGTGCAATTGATCTGCAGAGCAAACTGTAGCCCAGTTAGGAATGTGAGTTTTCTCAGGCGATCTTTAAATGTTAGGCCTTATGTTCACTGAACATGTTTCAAAAGAAGCGGGGTTGTGTCTGCTGGTCCAGCCACCCAACATGGTGTGGTTAAACACTGCAAATTGTCCCTGCATAACTTTTTTAAATTCTCAGAAAACCCTTCCTCGTGTGTATGGGCCATGCTTTAGTGACATCACTGTGGGCAAGCTTATTTGTTCCAGGTGAGGCTCTTGGTCTGTCAGGTGCCGAAGAAGAATGTTGAAACTGAGCAACTGGAAGAATATGAGTAGTAAAACGTATGTGTGGATGTGTAAACCTTGATGTGTATGCTATGGTTACTCTTAATCCTCACACTGAAACAAGATCTCCAGGTTAGCAATGGCATTTTGAAAGGCTCATTAAGACTGCTGTATGTCATACTCTGATTACTTATGCTTACTGTTAAGTATTCTCTTTATAATAGTGTGCAAATTCATTCCCTGGAGGCCCATTCTGTGGAAGGATGACTTCCTAGATATTAAAGAGATTCTTTGTGTCTCTTGCATCCAATGGAAATGCAATGTCCTTTGTATCTCAAACAGTTTGAACTGTTTTTTAAACCAGAGTTCATGACCTGTATTTTGCATTGCAAATTTGTCCATCCCTTGCAAATTATTACTTTATTATTTTGATCCACTGTTCATAGTGAAAAGAAAACAAAACGCATAGTTTTGGTACAGGATATAGTCTGATGGGTCATACTGTAGCAAGGTTGCTGAAGCTAAGCAGGTCTGTGTCTTATTAGTGCCTGGATGAAAGAGTTTCTGAGGATTTATGGATACCACCTTGATTTTCAGGATGAAAAAAAGGCAGGATATGTGTAATAAAATCATTTTTTTAAAAAAATGTACAGTGATACAAGAGAGAAGTTGTGATCTTTTGCATCCTAACTTGGAAATGAATTTTGTCGATCAGTGAGTTTTACTTGTAAACAAAAAGACATTGGGTACCATGCTGGGTTTGGTAGAATCAGGGGTCTTTTCCTAGAAAAAGAGCTGCAGGAGCTCATTAGCATACGGTATGCTAATGAGCGACTAGGCTATTAGCATAATAGCTCATTAGCATATGCAACGCCCCCTGACATCACCGGAAGTGATGTCAGAAGGGGAAGTAAAAGGGGGGAGGCATCTTGAAAAGCCTCCCCTTCCCTTCCCTTCCCTTCCCTTCCCCTCCCGGGGGGGGGGGGAGCGAAGAGAGTAGGGGTTTAAAGGTCAAACCCCTTCTCACTAGAGTTGGGCCGCAGAAGGAGGAAAGAGGGAAGGAAAGAGAGAGAGTAGAGAGAAGGAACGAAGGAATGAAAGAGTGAAAGAAAGAGAAGGAAAGAGGAAAAGAAAGAAAAGGAAAGAAGGAGGGAAAGAAAGAGCAAGAAGGGAAGAAGGAGGGAAAGAGGAAACGGAGAGAATGACAGGAGGGAAAGAAAGAAAGAGCAAGAAGGGAAGGAGGAAAAGAGGTAAAGAGAGAGAAGGAAAGAAGAAGGAAAAGAGTCTCTGCCCGCCCTCGGGCCGCAGCACTCCGGCGTTGGCCCGGGGAGGCGGCGGGGGGGGCCTCTTCTGCCTTCCCACGGGCCGCAGCACTGGCGCTGGCCCGGGGAGGCGGCAGGGGGCCTCTTCTAGCCTCCCACAGACCGCAGCGCTCCGGCGCTGGCCCGGGGAGCTGGGGGCGGGGCTTGCTGCCACCGCCATTTGTTACGGCACCTAGGCTCCCGGAGCAGCGCTCTATCCCCAAAAAACCCCTGGGTAGAATTCCAGTACTTGTTTTTTAATTAAGGTTCTTGACATCCTTGTATGTAAGCCCCTTTGATTCAGGAGGCAGGTACAAAACATGGTCATCATGCTTGAAGAAAACAGTGATGTTCCCGTCTGTGTCTTCCCAGTTAGCTCTCTTCCCCTTCCCAGTTCAGCTCACTTCCATGTCCCACACCTCTTGTCACTACTCATCATATATATAGCATTTTAAAAGCTTCAAGAAATTAACTTCCAAAGTTATTAGTAAATCCTGCTTCTAAATGATCGTATCTTAGAGTAGTGCAGGGGGTTAGGATACATGACATTTCAGTTAGGATATAATCATGTATTTACCTTTGAACAATTAATATTGGGAATCTATGTTCTCCCTTTCCTTAGGAACAAAGTAATTTCATCAGTTGCATTTAGTCAACTTTGTTGTCTCTCCTTCACCACCAGTTTTCTACTAAATTAGTATAGAATTCACTCTTGAAAATGTTTACATCTACAAAAGTTCTGGTTACACTTATTGATTCCACACACTCTGAGGACTCAGTGACTGGAATCCAGAATGATTTGAGGCCATAGGCTATGTTGTTGAATGTAGGTACCAATTTAAAGTGTA